CTTCGGGGCTGGGGGCATGCCGGATGGCGCAGGGCTGGGAGCAAGGCGAGTGCAAGGGGGAGAGGGGAAAGCTGGGCTGATCCTGGCTCCATTTAGTGCCGCTCAGCAGGGGCTGCTTCCCATCGCTGCAAAGGTTGGGATTAATGATGAGCAACCTGCCCTCCCATCAGCGTCACGAAGGGTGTCGGGTCTCAGCACGGCTGGAAGAGACCTGGCCCTCCGGGCTGCTCCTGGAAGCCCAAGGAGGGGTCATGGAGTGGGAGGACAGGCTGGTTGAGAGGAGGATTTAGGAAGGGGCTGGAGCCTACATGAGGCGGCTTCAGGACCTCGTGAAGCGGAAGGACTCTCCTTTTGTTTTTTCCCTAGTTTCCAAATTGCCCCAAGAAGAACTGGGGGCCGCAGCGAGAAATCCTGGCTCCCAGCCTTGGGATTCACCTTGACTTTGGAGCGGGCGGATGGACGGCCTTTAGGAAGTGGCCATCCTGGAGGTTCCTGCATCGATGCACACGCAGCGGTGAGCACCTCCTGGCTCTCCCTTTCCTCCTTCAGAGCCCAAATAACCCCTGCCCTGCCCCAGGATCCACACCCTGACGTGCAGCGAGGCAGGATGGGGCCGTACCCCCGTCCCCCAGGGCTGAGCCCATCCCTGCCCCATCTCTCACCTCCTCCATTCTTCTGGCAGAGGTAGGGGAAGCGCCAGACATTGCCCAGCCCCACGGAGTAGCCGATCTGCGCCAGGATGTACTGCAGCTTGCTGTTCCACGCCGGCCGGTTCTCCGCGTCCAGCTCCTCCTCTCCATCCTTCCCCTTGTCCCAGGCCTCCCCTGTCACGTTGAGGACGCTGCGTTTGTAGTCCACGGGCTCTTCGTGGGCCAGCAAGTCGGCCACCGACTCGGTGACATGCTCGCTGCTGTGCTCCCGCTGTGTCACCTTGCTGTTCTTCGGCATTGGGATGGCTCCGTGCAGCCCCGGGGGGTGGGGTGGGGTGAGGGGAGAAGATGAGTGTCCCGCAGGGAACAGCACCCGTGTGAGCTACAGCTCGGCCTCACCTCCTCTTCATCAGCAGGACCTGGGCAGGGAAGGGGTCAACAGAGGATGAGCTGGTTTTGCATCACCCCAAGGGTGTCCCGGTGCGGGTGGGAGCGGCAGCACCAGATGGAGAAGGGTCTCCATCACCCCATGCCTTGGGGACCTCCCTCTGGGCTGGGCGATGCTGACGACCCCCTTCTTCATGTATGATGGAGGAACCCCCTGGTTCACCACTCATGGAGCAGAACCTCCCGCGACCCACAGGAGGGAACTTCCCTGGGCTACTGGGGCCGGTGACAAGCGATGGAGCCGGTCACATCACCGTGACACCTCTTTTCCCCTCAAACAACCCCAGGCCAGCAGCTGGTCCCCAACAAGGGCTGACACCGCACCCAGCGCCAGCCAGGGCTCTGCCTTCTCCTGCTCCCTCCCCTCCCGGCTGAGCCCGGGCTCAGCCCCACGACAGCTCCAAAGCGCTCCGGGGACAGTGACAAACACCCGAGCTATCTCTCCATCCCTGGACATTATCAGGAGCGACTTCAAAGCCTGGGAGCCTGCAGTTAAATCTTCTCAGGCAGCTTTACAACAGATAAGGGCTGGCGGCAGCTGAGGCAACGCCATCAATTGTCCCAGCCCCTCCGCCTTCCCAACCTTCGTCGTGGGCCAGCCTTGGCCATGGAGAGCCGTACCAGTCCCACAGCATCCGCACAGTCACACCAGTTTGCCCCCACCACCTCATTCCCACAGCTGATGGCATCGGATCCCATGGGTGCGGGGCCGGGATGGGCGCAGGCAGGGTAATTTTTGGACCCACAGAGGAAGCGCGGGTGGGAGCGTGGGCTCACGGCCGGCATGGTGACGAGCAGATACGCGTGGCGGG